CCGTCTCGTCGACTCTGTTTTGATTGATGTTTTGGGTCAGATTTTTTACCGTGTACAAACTTGGGAGGGGGATTCAGCCATGTTAGTGTCAGATGTAGACGGTTCAGCTTGTGTTGTTTTATTACAATGTTTACTTATGTGGCCATATTCTCCACAGCTGAAACATTTAACAGATTCATTGGAGATGAAAACTCTGTAGTTCACCCCTGCGTGAACAATGTTCATGTGATCGAGAATAGTGACATTGGTTTCTATGATAGCATGCACTTGACGTCTAAAAGACATAACATGAGATAACTCTGTGTCTTTAATTCCCAAGGGGATCGGTTTGATGGCTGAAACTGGTTTGCAGAAACTTGACAGATTTTTTGCAATGACTGCATTTGGTAATTCTTGATATACATTTGACAGTACAAGTCTCTCAGTAGGTTTTACTAAGGGGGTGATGGATATAAACGAATCGTTGTACTCCAAACCATACACAACAGCTTCCTCAACCGCTTCCCTTGACTTGAGGTAGACTGCTACACGCCCATTTGATATACGGGAGGCAGAAACTATTTCAGCTGGGTTCATGCCCGAGACAGATAGTGCATTAACATAACACTGGACAGAGACATTGTCTTCAGCTTTGAAAACGATTCCATTCTCGCGAGTTATGTTAGTGAAAGGTTCAGATGCAACATTGGTCTTTGAGAAGCCAGTCGCCTGATCACCTGAGTGATCCCGAACAACAGGACGGTCGGCAGCACGACTAGCCATGGCGGCCAGCCCCGCTAGCTAACGTGTATCGAATGTTCGGGACTATGCCAAAAAAAAGAGGTGAAAATATTACAAGATGATATACCGTAACAGTCCTTCAATAAGACCTATCAAGTCTACAACAATATACGTACACAACTACAACCAATAAGGACCAAAAAGGTCATTAGTACAGTGATAAAACTTAGTGATAAAACGTTAAACGAGAGCCCAAAAATCACACCGCCTTCAAGAAAACAAACAAACAAACAAACAAACAACCCCAACAAACAAACAAATAAACAAACAAACAAACAACAAACAAACAAACAAACACCCCCAACAACCCAACAAACAAACAAACAGACAAACGAATGAACGAAGAAACAAACAAACAAACACCCCAACAACCCAACAACCCAACAAACAAACTCCAGAATCTGTGTTGACTATAAATAACAGATGTAATAGGTTTCAGTTTTCCAAATTTAACCATTTTTCTTTTTAACCACACGAAAACCATGAAATCAGGAAGGTTAATTATTTTTACTTTTCAAACCTTTCTAGCTCAGGACAACCAGACGCCAAAACCCAGGAATACTTCCTTTCCCTGCCTTTGTTTAGGATTTATAATTTTGACATTTTAATTTAAATATCAGTACAACTTAATAAGTCAACACTTTCAACATTAAGAACATTCGCTAACCAGACAGATTCGAATGAGACTAAAACCAGCCATAATTTACAGCCAATAATAAGGGAAAATGGTGGTGCAAACGACATTTTGATNCAACAAACAAACAAACAAACAAACAAACAAACAAACAAACACCCCCCCCCAACAAACAAACAAACAAACAATCAAAGACTGTTAATTCATACCAATATACCAAAAAACAGGGTAAATTGTTGCTTCATGAGATCCAGCCACCTGCTTAAAAAAAGCCTTAAAAATGAGGACTAAGCGTGCATTCCTATGTAACTTCTGGTGCTGCATTGTACACATGTCTCCTTCTATCTTCAAATATCATCAATAAACCCAAGCCAGCCATTATTGGAATGAGTTCCACCGACTCGCATCCCGATATTTGTTTCTTCAAACACTTGAATCGGCAAGAAACTAAGGCAATTCAGCTCCCTCTGTAGACAAAAGCAGCATTAGTTCAGTCCCCAACTGTTCAAGGGAAGACTGTCTAATTTCGCTACACTTAGCATCTGTTTGTTGACGGGAATTACTTTGATTTATTTTAGTTTGGCGTGACATAGAAGGCTTGGTTGACAGCATTTTGGGTACCTTCGGGTAGACAGTATTTATATGGATGTGCAATTCGACTTTGATGAAATTGGACTGTAGAAGGGGTCACAAAAGTCTTCACGTGCAGAAAAACAGTCGAAACCAGCCAAACCAGTCGAAGTGCCAAACTGTGCAAATCCAAAAACCAAAATATAAAGCAATCATGATACTTTAGTTTGAAACAATATATAAAAGAGATTGCTCTTCTTTTCTACCTAATTAGGTTCGATAATGTCACCACTTTAACCAGCACCCACTAGCCACAATCTGTATGATGCATTTTGGTGTCTTGTGAAAAAAAATGTCCTCAGAGAATGTGAGATTTTAATCACATAATCAAACCAGAATTATCAATGTAGAGAGATTAGCATTTAACAGAAAAACTACCCCTTTATTAATGATATTAATTCGCACATGTATAAAAAAATATTATTCCATTTTCCTTGTCCCAACTGCCCTTACGGTGGAATGACTAATTTCCTCATAATAAATGGCATACTCTCTTCTGAGCTCTTACAAAACAGAAATCATTTTAAGGATTGTAGCTGAACAGACTGCAGATTTGGTAAGGTGGTAAGTAACGCAAAATGCTTTGTAACGTCTCTGCACATTATTTCGTAAACAAATGTACTAATTCGCTCGTTCGCTCGTGAATCGCTGCAGCAGGGAGAGATTGCACAATTATTGGGGATGACGGAAAAAAGTTTAACCCTCATTATCTACGCTGAAAGCGTGTAATGTTGAAGGTACACCTTCTGATCACACTTTTATAAAAAAAGGGAGGGCGTTGTGTCCATGGACAACACTCTGCTCCTCCCCAGGTCATTGCGTGTTGTAGCTACACCTTTTTGATAGCAAGAGAGGGCGCTGTGTACAAACGTGGACTGCGGAGACTTGATTCTCATTAGTTTCTAAAAGGAGCTAGTTTTGGCAGTAAAAACTAGTTCTTCGTCTCAATTCTTAAAGACAGAGAGAAAAACATTTGATCTTCTTACTTTTGCTTGTACTTTTCCTGTTTTAAGGAGTTCTTTAAGGAGAAATAAAATGTGGAACAAAAGGTACAACTCCTTTGGAACTAAATGCCGTTATAAAAATAGTTTGAATGTAAATACATATAAAAGAAAAAATTATTACAAACGTGACTGTAGTGGAGTCAGTCATGACATGATGAACAAAGTCCAGCACCAGCAGCAGAAATAGATTCATCTCACTCTCAGTCTAAAGTGTATTAACAAGTCTGCGGCCAGTGGGTCAGGGGTGTGTGCCTTTTTCTATTTTCAATTTTTATGTTTTTCACACACACAAAATTATTTCACAAGAACAACGGTAGAATCTTTTGGTGTCACATTAAGTAGAATATACATATGCATGGTTTTTGCCGATATCGGTAGCCAGAAAAAAAATACCACACTTGACTGTAATAAAAATCTATGTTGAATGAATGCAGCTGCGGTACCATTCAGCTATCAATGTCGAAACACACCCTGCTCGCATCGTGTATTAAAGACACCGCACGCGGTGTTCACGGCCGCTATAGTGCATTGAGTGCGGTGCAGTAACACTCGTTCTGGTATTAATGCCATACCTTGGATTTCGACTCTTCCTGAATTGATGTTTGAGTGAAAGATTATCGCACGTGCATATTTTCAGCGCTGCTTTTGTACGCGTCAGCACATTTCACTTCTTTTTTAGCTGCTTAGGCACTACTGCCGATCAAAAGCAGCTGTTGTTTTCGTTGGCTGATTGTTAAATATAAGACACCACACACGAACAGAAACAACTCAAATTGTATTTCTTTTGCCAAGGTTCTACCAATGGCAAAGGCGGCCTGCAGCGTTTTTATTTCGAGAATTAACGTTTTAACACGGCGAAAAATGCGTTGTTTCGCAATACTAATTTTTACACGTCAATGCACCTTGTGGGAGGAAAGGGGTTAGGATGATTTTTACATGGTCAAAACATGGCCCGTGTCAGGAGACCGGATTTTTCGGGATAAAATCTTCTCCAAAGTACACAAGTTTGTGCAAAGAGGATTAAGAGAAACATGCTTCAGGTTTTTAGACCTGATTTGAACAAATGAAATATCCCAAGGAATAGTAACACCATGATTTAAGAAAAAGCCAATTTTTAACAATAACCGTAATCCCTCAGCCATAGCACTTTGGTGCTTGAGTAAGAGCGATTGCAATCAAACTTTGCATATACCTAGACTACAACCCAAGAATGATCCGGGAAAATATTCGTCATAATAACGTCACCACCTGTATCGTTAAAAACCCACAAAGTCAATTTTTTTCCGGATTGTATCTCTGGAACCCTTATTCTGATCGGGTTGAAATTTTGCACAGAAGTAATAGTGTTATTACCAGAGTTTTTCACGATTTTTAATCTTTTAGTCGTTTTGACATTCGTTTTGACGTATCTCCCAAACAAAATGAGTTTTCCCCAAATTTCCTTTTGCTAGACCACCAGTATAGATTAATGAGATACGTTGGTTTGTTG